TCTTTCTCTCAGGTTGTTGGGGGGGAGGGGAAGTAGGTGTGGTTGGGGGGTAGGGGGTGCATTATGTGATAGATGGGTTGGTGTCGCTTCGGTTGGAGGGATGAGCGAGGTACTGTAGAGAGTTGCGTCTCTCTCTCTCTCTCTCTTTTTTTAAGCCTATCTTTGGTTTCCTTATTTCGTTAGCGATGGAGTTGACTTGGAGTTGGAGTTGGAGGGATTATATATACAGCAAATACCACAGAGACCGGGCACAGCGAAGAGTAAAGAGTAAAGAGCATACAAACAAATGGCATAGTCATAGTCACAGACACAGATCCTGATACTGATGCCATGCATAGATAGATAGATAGATCTTGGTAAATTAATGGATGGAGGGATATAATACTATAGCGATAGTCAATCACGTGTCTACGTTTCTGCATTCTGCTATTAAATAAATAGTTCTGTGATGTGTCTGGGTTGTGTCTGTGTCTGTGTCTGTTGGTTTTGGTTCGCTATTGAAGTTGAGGGAGATAGATAGCGGATATAGTAGCATCAGGTAGGTATAAGTAGAGAATAAGCGGGGTTAAGCGAGTGAGATGTTGGGTTTTGGGTTTTGGGGCAGAGGAATGAGGAACGAGGAGTTTATTTTCATACTGATTAAGTTATTACGATATACGAGTACCCCTTTACTAGTACCGAGGAATGTCACGTGGAGGTAGTCCCACACGCGTCCGAGCACCAGCGAGTACTATAAGTACTTGGATTCTTCTACTTCTTCAATATACTTATATAGATAGAGTATGAGGGGTCTTTTAGTGATGTTTGATTTATTGTTGAAGTGATGTTTAGTTTTGTTGGAATAAGTTGTACGAGTAGTATGCTTGATGTGGGGAGAGAGTGGGGTATTAGGTTGTGTGATTGAGCGTTGGAGGTATTGGGAATTGGGAGGGAAGGAGGGGATTTTGATTTGGTTGTTAGGGGTGGAGAGGAGTAGGTTCAAAGTGATTGGAATGGTGGGATGGATTTATTCCGTATGATTTTATAAGGATACCGAGGAAAGTATTACTAGGGTAGTTGTGAGGCTATCGTCAAACGACAAAGATATATAGAACCGAGAATTTTTCATCCATCCTCTGGACCCGGGTCGATGCGCCTTCATACCCCACCAACAGCAGACCCATCCCAATAAATCTCCAAGATCCCCAATAAAGATTCGTCAGGTAGATATACCCGATTTAGAATAAATTGTTTATCTACTATAGTAAGTAACGCTTTCTATTTATCTAGGTATTTCTCACGACCATTGGAAAATCATTGCAAAGCTAGATCTGCGGATCTGAAAAGGTTCCTATTAGTACGAGTTTCCACTAATTTTCTTATTCTCTTATTTTTCTGAATTGCAAGGATACTTAGCTATGTCACGTACCGTGAAATTCTATCTCGCCACAAGGGGATACTGTCGCGCTCTAGCATACATAAATCCTGAACAAGGATCTTCGTCCCACGGTCAAGAACCGGAATCTGCGCTCTCAAAAGTTGGACGGCGTGTTTATCGCTCAACCCACGAAAAGCCATGCGGAAGAAATAGATCGGTACCTTGATCGTCTGCGGTGCAAAGATGTCGTGAGCCATAAACTCGATCCGTCCTTTTAGCTCCTCCGGAACACCTGATTCTGCGCCTTGAATCATATTCGCGGAGTCTTGAACGAGGAATTTGAGGGTTTTAAATTTCCTCGCTAGCTCGATGGCGGCTTGGCCCCTGGATCCGGCGATATGGATGATGGTCACGTCGCCTAGAGATGCCCAATCGTAGATTGTGGGGATGTCGATGAGGGAGTAGCCCGGGACGTGGTTGATGGCTTGTATTCCGGATGCGAAACGCTGGGCTCGTGAGGGGTCTGTGGTGAGGATTTGTGGGATTGAGAGGCCATTGTTGGCAAGGATGAAAGCCTGTGTGTATTAGTACGGGCGGTAGTCTGGACATCAAGAATTGGGACGGTCCAAATGATATGGAGATATATATTTGTGTAGGAGACAGTAGGATAGGGAAATACCTACAGTCTCGCTAGCTTCCTGTGAATTCGGCCATTTCTGAATCGCATCTACAATCTAGGACGAAGTACGTAAGTCAGTTCACTCCTATCCATTCTTTTCCAATTACTCTAGGAGTAGCAGGCCAAGTCTCCCTACTCTCAAACTCAACCCAGCTCCCGATATCCGGAACCGTCATGAATTTCGAGATCCGAGTATGTGCTACCATTTGCGGCTCAGGTTCAGTCAGGATCCGCATACTCATTACATGTCTAAGGAGGCGTCTGATAGATCCTTTCTCTAGACCTTTTTTTTGAGAAATTTCACTGAAGGAGAGCTGGCCACCGGTGGAGATCATATCGGGGATTTTGTAACGGTTGATTGCGCCGATGCTTACTAGATTGGAGATCTGGATTTGTTAAAGTGGTTATGGTAAGGCAAGTCTTGGGGTGGGGGGTATGCTTACAGCGGCGAATTTGAAGAGTAGGGATAGGGGTTCTAGGAGTAGCTCGTGGAGCGAGGCTGTTGCATCTAAGAGGGTGTTTTTTAAATGGGATACTTCGGGTGGGAAGGCATTAGGACCTTCCTCAGCGAATGATGGGGTTGGTAGGTTTTGAGCTGAGAGATGTTCTTGCAGTTGGGTGACTGAGGTGCTGATCTGGGCAGCCAGCTCGATGATTCTGGGAGTTGTCGTGGGGGTTGGGGATGTCATGGTTGATGATCATGATGGTGATGGGAAAGAGAAGGGTGGTGAGAAAGTGTAAAAAGAAAGGAGTTGGAGGGGCAGGACTGAATGTTGTGAATTGTCTGTACTCGTATGACAAATACAATGGGTTATGGGTAAGCTGGGTGTTGGTGGGGTGTTAGTGCCAACACAGTAATTCACGGATGGAAGTTTCTCATTTAGCCAAGTATTGAACCACTCTGTACTAGTCCTTAGAGAGATGTTTGCGATTATGAGAGGACATTTCTGATAAAGATATTCTACGCGTAAACAGAAGAACTTTCTGCGAGTATGAACCTCTGCTTTGCACTATTCATTACTTCACCATTTTCCCATGCATTTCCCTCCGAGACGACTTACTGGTCACACACTTCCAAAGGTGATGTGTTGAGTTAGGTTGGATTATTTAAGTTGAATGGTTGGAGCAGGAGAAAATGTGGTAGTGAGGTGACAACTCCCCCCCCTAAAACAACGCTTACGGCTGCACCAACTTTGCGTGCCCAATAGAGTCACCGAGTAGGAGCTCCTAAATATCCTCATATCCAACCCCCCCCCCCC